TTCTCTCAATATACATTGTACCTTATTAGGGAATTCCTACCTATATTCCTTAAGCCTTTTTCATTCAGTAAGGAGTCTTGAATGTTCCCATTACAAAGTGATGTTTCAACAGTGAGGTACCAAACTGTTTTATTACTTAATCTGCATGTTATATTGTATCTGAGAAATACAAGAGGAACATTGAAGAATTAAGAGGATGAAAGGCTTGAGTGAATCACTTGAGCTTAAACTAAGCAATGCAAATCTGGCTTTAAGTGACCTTATTGATGTTTGCTTAAAGCAGCTTCTTCTCAGTACAAATGACTGGGCTTTGTTGTAGATACTGAACAGGTAGCATTCTGTCTCTTTAGAGATTGCCTTTGTATCCTTGATGCAACCCCTCTTTGCTTCAGCAGAGAGTGCCTGCAGAAATGCCCGGAGCTAAAATAGATTGCATCAGTGTGTCTCATTTGATCAGCCGTCAGCTGTGAAGAGAGAGGACAGGTCAAACAACAGCACATGCCCATTTCTGCATTCTGTGTCTCTAAAACTAGTCTCTGGCAGCTGAAGAACAAGGGCCAATGAAACTGGAGTGGAGGATTTGATAGTACGGGATGTGTGCGCACACAAAATGGCCCTGAACACTTTTGTACTTGGCAGTTTGAAAAGAGGTGGCAAGCAACTGTGACAAGTTAATGCATAATCAGATACAAGTTATTAAACAATACAGGTAGAACAATACAGTGACAAGATAACCACCTATGCCTAGAGGTGATAGCATTATGTAATAAACAGTGCCATCTTCTGGGAAGAGTTGGAATCATGCCCATGTGATTAGCACTTCTGAAGTTTTTTTCAAGTGTTTTTCTTTTGTGTGTAATATATTGCTCAAAAATCCAAACTAAAACTGGAAAAAGCTGCTGATGTGGCATTCCAAGTTCCAGATCCTACAACAGTGAAGTACCACGTACAAGTAGAAATATCACATTTTTTTTTTAAGCAGAAATTTATAAAAAGTGATCTTGAGGCTGTATAAAATTAGATGAAGAACTGTTAAACAATACCTGAGAGAAGGCCAAGAATGAACAGTTGACAGTCATGTCTGTTTTTGGAGGCTGAAGGTACAGTATTACCTTTAAATGCACTTTGTGTAAATTCTAAATAGTTGCCTCTTACTATAGGAAATTCATCGATCTATATAAAAACATGGTATGGGTCCAAGGAGATAGTAACAATTTTATTTAAAGTTTGTTGCTTAAGCAGCTATGTATTGTTTTTCTCCACACCTTCTCTTCCCTGGAAATTTGCTAGCTATGATCAGTTTCTGCTATGCTATGATCAGTTATATTAGCAAGGTTTTCATCGTGGTTCAAGTATATTCAGCACCTAGCAGTTGATTGAGATCTTCCAGGGAGTGTAATGTAAGATTTGTCACCTACACAGACATATTAATAACTCAGATCAGTTCCCTAAGCTGATTTTGGAAGAAATTCAAGTTCTGGTAATAATTAATGGTACTATGCTTGATCTTTTGCATTTCATTGATAGCAGTGTTACACATTGCTTCAGAGAAAAGCTAGATTCTTGTTGATGTTCCAGATATTTACTAAAACTGAAAGCCTTTATCAAAAATACAGATTGGTACTAAAATGAAAAATCAGAATAAAAGTGTCTGCTTATTATTAAAATAAAATAGAAAATAGTTATATAGCATCTATATAATGATGTGGTCAGTTATAGTGCTACCATACGTAACAGTAGAAAAAAGACTAATGTAAGCTCTTGTTCAGTTTAGTGCATCGTAATTAGCTTCTTACATGTATTCTGACCAATTTACCAGCAATAACAACTACCAGCAGTGACAACTTTCTTAACACTTAGCCTATTTGAAAATTCAGAGCATACTAGATAAGGGGGGATATAACTACTATTCTGAAAAGTATGATTTCAATTAATATGAGAAGTAAGTGAAGCCTGGGACTGCATTTAATGGTACAATTTACAGTTAAAGAGGTAATTGAAAAAGCATTTACTTTTCCAGAAATATTAGTGTCAAATAAGTCTAAAATCTATGTATGCCACTACACACTAATCACAATATATCAGAAGGAACCTATAACTCTTACAGGTTTCGCCTATTCTGAATATTTTACCAAAAACAGAAGTTTTATATAGTATGTATACATGTAAGGATACTGTACATAGCCTATTTTGTGGTTGGGATGATGAAAGTACTTGAATGAGATCATTAGTGAATTTTCAAAAGTTATGAAAATGTAAAGTTTATATAGTCTTGAACTCTCTAACAGTTGCATCAAATTATTTTGTTAATAAACTTCAAAAAAAAAAGTTTGTCAACACACTCTTCATGGTATTATAGGTATATTTAGATATGATTATGAATATGCAGACTTCCTCTTGACTTTGTGTCTTCATAATTTGCTAAATAGGCTCACTCTTTGCATTTGGAATAAAATATTTATAGTGATTATTTATTTCCTTAAATCAGCATGAAATATATACCAAAAATTTTGGAATTCCTGTAGGTAGACATGCTCCTTTCCTTTCTAAGTTCACAAAATATGAATGGAATTATTGCCATTTTGTAACAGAGTTATGAACAGTAGTTACTGGAAATATGCAATAATGGTTCATCTTAATTAATTACCTACCTGCCCCAAATGGACAAGTTAAGAAGAAAGGAAATAGAAAAAGGTGCCTTTCCTTACCGTGAACTCTTCCCAAGTTTTTAAAAAGTCACTGGCAATTTTGGATGCCTCCATTTTTGGACACCTAACATGAGTCACTTTAAAGAGGCTTGGTTTTGAGTGTAGAGGAGCAATGCTTTCTGAAAAACAGGCTCCTTTAAAATGACTCTAAGTTGGGCACCCCAGTATTAAAGCACCCAGAGTCACTAATACTTTTTAAAATATTAACCTAAATGTCTGCAAACATATATTTGTATAGGTGACTTTTTTAAAAATTCCCCAAATACAAATTTAGCCAACTTTTCCGGAGGATAAAATATGTTCATGCTGGCACTTTAGATTGCCAATTTTCCATCCAGCTTTAAATCCCTGAGAGTGCATCATGTGTAGTAGTAATTGTAACATTGTTAAATTATATAGTGGTGACCTGGCATGGTATTATAACCAAGCATACACATCTTTTTAATTTCCAATAAATGTTATTTTGCTATCTGGATAGTGGAATGTAAGTTAAGAAAATAGCAGTATGTGGCATTAATATTGGGAAATTTGTTATTGCAAATTTGGGGGAGGGATAACTCAGTGGTTTGAGCATTGGCCTGCTAAACCCAGGGTTGTGAGTTCAATCCTTGAGGGGGCCACTTAGGGATCTGGGGCAAAATCAGTACTTGGTCCTGCTAGTGAAGGCAGGGGGGCGACTCGATGACCTTTCAAGGTCCCTTCCAGTTCTAGGAGATGGGATATCTCCATTAAAAACAAAAACAAATTAGACAAAAGTACTACTTTTGCTTAGCAAGTGAAAAGTGAACTTAAATCAGTACCTTGCTGCTGGTCTAAAGGTACTCAAGGAAAGATGCTAGAGCTATTATGTGATAACTTTATTGTAAATGTTTTAACACATTGGAAACTATACTGAATGTATTAAAGGCTTCTTCAGGATATCAAAATACAACTTTTGAGAATAAAACACATGAAACAATACCAGTTTTACTTACTGCTTTTGAGGTATACAAAGTATCGAAACTCAGTTCTCTTTTTCCTTCATTTACTTTTTAATGAGAATAATTGACAATATTATTGTTGACAATGGGATACATATTGGGGGCCGGGGGGGGGGTCTAGACTCTGAGCCAAATTCCAACAGTAACATAAATGGTGTAAATAACACAGGTGTACCTTAACCAGAAAATGTGTGTATGTGGCAATAAAATGTAATTTACACCTATTCATCATTTAGTGAGTGCACAAAATGAGCTCAATTTAAAATGATTAGGTATTCTGTGGGAACCAAATTCCAGATCTAGTATAAACAGGTATACTTTTTATTTGAGATCAATAAAAGTATTGTATCCTTTTTTGCCATGGCTGATGTTGGTCGTGGAGTTTTGGGTTTGGTGCTTGAATTAAGGCCTTGACCCAGCAAAACAATTTGCATTGACTTTAGTGGGATTACTCACATACTTAAAGTTAAGTATGTGTTTAAATGTTTTGCAGGACAGGCCTAATTTGGAGGAGGTGAGGCTGTTTTATTATTATACAATCTCTTGTTAGTTACTTTCTAGTACATTCATCTTCCTGACCCCAAGCAAGTAAATTGCACAGGTTTGGAATTCATTAGGAATACAAAATGATTACAAGTTATATTACTTTGCTACTTATTTTTGTTTTGTGACCAGTTTGCATGAGCATTTATATCACTGCTGAATTTCAGGGAACTTGCACCATCTTACCTGCAAGCTTTATTTGGCTGAATTTGGCCTATTTTAGTTCAGAATTTGAAGCTGTTTGTGGACGTGAATGTTGACTTTCAACAGTTGTAGACTTAATGTTCAGAATAGCGGCCCAAATTATTTCTTTTTATGTAATATTCAATATCTGGCATAATAAAAACACATTAATTTAAGCCCCAATTATTTAATATTTGCATTTTCTTTCATTTAGTCCACCAACCAAATATCTTCTACAAGTATTTAGAAGTTAATACTTCTTCATTTAAAATCTTAAATTCGCCTTTCAAACACAGATTTAAACTTTAGCTCTGTTTTGGTAATTTTTTACTTTTCTTTTATTCACTTTTATATGACGTTCATCCAGTACCAATTATTGGAGGTCTACTTACAATTTTAATACTTTCAGATCCATGGAGGTTAATAATACACTAATATTCCCATAAGGCTTATGTGTAATATAAATAAGTATTTCCATCCATTCAAACTCAGAGAAATGTCTTTTTTCTCTCTCAAGTCCTAGGCGCAGATTTGGCTCATAAAATAAAATGTTAGTCTAACTTTCTTTCCTACTTTTCATACGCAGGCAGAGGGGGAAGACAGCCTTAAAAAGATGCAACTAATGGAACTTGCAATTCTGAATGGCACCTACAGAGACGCCAACATCAAATCACGTAAGCATGACAAAATTCTAGGGGCCAGTAGGAGAGCAGACTCCACAGGGGTTTTGTTTCCCAACCTTTCTCCTTTTGGCAAATGCACAGTTGCATATCTGTTGACGAGATTGAGACAGTGTGGTTAGTACTGCTGCAAATTCAAGATATTTTGATTTTTTTTTTCCTGTCAGTATGTCTGAATTGAAATTTTTTTTTAAATAATAAGTATTTATTTTTTAACTCTGATCAAAGTTGAGCCCTAAAAGCAAGCTTTTTAGGCTATGTCTACCCTTAAAACGCTACTGTAGCATAGCTGTTCCACTGTAGCAATTCAGTATAGACACGTACTACAGTGACGGGATGGGTTCTCCCATCGCTACAGGTATTCCATATCCCTGAGAGGTGGTAGCTAGGTTCACAGAAGAATTCTTCCGTCAGCCTGGCACTGACTTCATTGAGGGTTAGATTGGCTTAATGATGTCTGTCAGGGGTGTGGATTTTTCAGACCCACAAAGAGAGAGAGAGCTATATTGATGTGACTTTTCAGTGTAGACCAGCTCTTTTATGTTTTGTAAACTATAGAAGCTGTGGTATTCCTCATAATTTTGTTTATTTCTTGCCATGTGTAAAAGAGGATAGATTCCTTTTCACCTTTTTTAGAGAGATTTAAGGGAATGTAACAGTTGTTCAAGATAACATGAATAACATTTTCTGTATTATATTCCTTCCTGTCATCTTGCTTGCATGTTTCCCCAATGTTATGTTTTTCCAGTGATTCATTAACTGATTTCACATGCAAGTTCACAGAGATCAGTGGTGTAATGAGCCCGTTTGTAACAATTCTTCTTCCATTAGATTGATTTGAGCATGCATGTATGTACAGTTTTATACTTGAAGCTGAATGGCATGCACTTGGTTATCAGAGTACATGTGACATGTGCCTGCTATTCTTTATGGTATAAACTCTTTTCTCCAGGATAGAACGTAAAAGCTTGTTAATGAAAATTCAAATTTTAAAATCATTCTCAAACCTTTACTCTCGCTGATACAGGTGTCAAATGTAAGCACAGTCATGTCAACTTTTTCATTAAGGGCATACTGATATTACCAAAAGTTGTCCTTCTACATGTGCACTTCTATTACAGTTTATAGTAAATGGTGGTTATATGCAAAACAAACAAATGAGAGAGATCATGCCAATTAGGTTTAGCTACTTTAACATCTTCAGATGAGATCTGATAACAGTAACCTGAAGAGAGAGAAGAATTGGATTTGTGCCTTTTTTTCTGCTTTCTGATTTAAAAAAAAAAAACTTTAAAGGCTTGGGGTGGGAGAGGGACCTGCTTTTTGTTCCTCTTTAAAATCTGTCAGGAATGTCAAATCTTCCTTTACTGGAAGCCTGTCTTGAAGGACCCAGATTTTGTGGAGGTGAATGCTTTCCATAATCAAAGGAGCAGAGTAGTTGCTCTTTAACAAAAGAGCTTTTCTTCCTACTGCTTATTCTGGCATTAATTTGTCTTAATAAAAACAAAGTACAGTTTTGAAAATCGTGAATAAAAAACGGGCCCTATCACTCAGGTTTCAGTCACTTGATATCTGTGGACCGCAGGCTTTTTCAAAACATAAACTTACACAGGTTTAACAAAGTTTAGTTAACACACGTGCACTGAAATAAGGCCTAGTCTAGTCACAAAGGTTGTATTGATTTAATTATAAAGGTATAATTAACGCAATATGACTCCCCAAGGTCTTGTCTAAACTTAAAACTTTCTCCAGCATGGCTATATTTATCAGATGTTTGGGAGGGGGGAGGAGACCACACCCCTCTCCAACACTGCTATGGGTACAAAACCCCAGGTAGATGCAACTGTGTTGACGTAAGAGTGCTTCAGTCAGCATAGCTAATGTTGTTCGGGGAGGCTTTGGTCCTTCACTGGCAGAAAAAGTTTCTGTTGTACATTGTGTCTGCAATGAAATTTGAAAATACAAGACACACAGAATTGGAGGTTTTCATATTTCATTTCAAATCTACAAACTGGCCAGCATACATACATTCGGTAGTGTAGACATAACCCTAGTGGAGTGGCAATTTTACAAAAATGAAAGTGCTTATACCAATATGGCTTATTTTTGTTTGGGAAGGGAATAAGCTATACTGGTATAACAATGTTCGCACTAGGGGTATGTCTACACTGCCCAGGTTACAGCGTGGCCACAGCAGCGCTGTGATGTGGGCAGTGTAGACATGCTTTATCGCCGGGGGAGAGCTCTCCCAGCGATTTAAAAAAAAAAAAAAACCACACACGCACACAGCTTTGTTGCCGGGAGCACGGCTCACAGCGATAAAGCACTGTCTTTACTGGTGCTTTTCAGTGCTAAAACTTTTGTCGCTCAGGGGTGTGTTTTTTCACACCCCTGAACAACAAAAGTTTTAGCGCTGAAAGTGGCAGTGTAGACACCGCCTCGGTTTTTATTGGAATAAGCTGGCAAAACAAAACACAAAATCACACTCCCAACCAACATAGTTAGTTATACTGTGTGTAGACCAGGCTTAAATTGGATTCATTTCGCACCTTGTATTATTTTGGTTTGAATTTTTTAATAAACCAGCCATTAAACCAGTTGCTTAGTTAAACTGATGCAGTCCCTTTCTGGACATTCTTATATTGGATTGAGTGGATTACTTCATTTGACCTTAAGCCTGTTTCTAACTGACTTAATGTAAACCAAAATAAGAATGCCCATGCAGCAGTTTAACTAGAGCTTGTTCAAATTTTCAATTTTTTCATCTGAACAATTTCTGGCATTTTTTAATTTTGAATAGATACTTTGAACTGTAACTTATTTTTTCTTTTCATTTTGACATATCAAAAGCCTGAAAATCCAGAATCAAAAATAGAAAACAGAATTTTTTCAGTTTCCAGGGGGAAAAAAATGTAAGACTACATGAAATACAATTTTTATTTCATTTCAAAAGCTTCCACAGAAAACCTGAAAAATTTCTGTCAAAAGAATTCTAAAAGGCATTTTTCCAATGAATTTTTTTCCGGGAAAATTTTGGATTTTCCAACCACCTGTAGGTTTAACTAAATCATGTAAAAAGCATTCTTTAAGTCAAACCACTGTAATTCTGCATTTACACAAGCCCATAAAGTCTAAGTTTGAGGGTTGACCCCACGAGAGGTGTTAAAACTTGTCTGGATTGGGTGCTAAAATATTTTAAACAGCATTTAATTAAAATGTGCTAGCTCCATTTTTTTTTAAGTACATTTTTCCTAACCTACACTTCCAGGACGCAGTGTCAAAAACGCATGAATTTCTAATTTAAAATGGAAGTAGGAAAAAAAATATTATTTTTGAGAATGGGGGAGGGGGAAGGAAGAATATCATCTTTTTGGACCTATTTCATTCATCACAAAGAAGCAAAAAAGGACACCCACAATTACTAGGACACCTTTAACCCCAATGATCATGGGAGGTTTTATGTATTTTGAAATAGAATTTTAATAAAAAACAAAAGTATTATGAAACCTTTTTTCATTTTGTATAAAAGGTCTGCATAACTGACTATCTGTGGATTCTATAGTTGCAGTATATTTTACATTCCATGTACGATTACAACAGTATTTTCCGTATATCTCCTGCATGCGTCTCAGTCTCATGCAGTCTTGAAAGCATAGGTAAAAGAAACATGGTTTAAATTGAGCTTTCGTGCTATGTAACCTGTTTAGAAGTCTACTTCACTGTTTTATAAAGGCTTTTTTTATTTTGCATGTTCATACTTAAGCACACTGAGAAATGGAAAGCTGTTTGCATTTGAATGGTGTGCTTTGGCACTGTGTGATCAGCGCATGTACTAATGATTTCCTTTTATTTTTCTTCTTTCCTACTTTTTCCCCTTTTTTCCATTCTTTTCACGTTTTGTACTGCTATCTCCATACTTCCTTCTAAATTTCTTTGCTTACTGTAGCAGCCCTTGCCTTTTCTCTTGCAGCGACAGCCCAGGCTCCAAGGATTATTACTGGGCCTGCGCCTGTTCTCCCCCCAGCTGCCCTGCGTACTCCTACGCCAGCTGGCCCTACCATAATGCCTTTGATCAGACAGATACAGACCGCTGTCATGCCAAACGGAACTCCTCATCCAACTGCTGCAATAGTTCCTCAAGGACCTGAAGCTGGTTTAATTTACACACCCTATGAGTATCCCTATACACTGGCACCAGCGACATCAATTCTTGAGTATCCTATTGAACCTAGTGGCGTATTAGGTAAGTTTCTCTACTAAGATGATTAACTGAATTGTAGATCATTTTCTAAGGCTGCTTTATTGTGTTTTTTACTATTGTATGAGAGTCAGTGGTTCATTGAAACTTTGTTTTTGAAAGAGAGCTCTGACCCTATTTTGTTTCATTTAAAGACTCAGAAATTGCCCAGTAAAAAGTGCATTGAATAAGTGCAGCTCTAAAATTGTTTTATATAGATTGCTAAATTCATATGTCTTTAAAATGTCAATATTTATTTTGGAGCATTTTTAATTTTTTGAAAACAAAATTGTGTGTTTATTTTAATCAAATTGTAGTACATTTAAGTTTTTTGTAGTGCTATCAAATGAAAACATCTTTTAGACAAGAATAAAAGCAAATAGGAATTGAAATGCATAGTTAATATAAATACTGTCCCAAATGGAAAACTTGAATGCACTTTCCTAAAATGTAAACAATAATATTTAAAAGGGATCATTTTTAATTTTGCACAATATTTTGTGGCATCAAACAAATCTTGAAAAAAAACTAAAAATATAGTTTCCATTGATAGATCTGATGAATTAATCTAGTGGCAAGAACCTATGAATCTGTCTTTAAGCAGAAAACAAAATAATAGTTTCAGTAAGTAAACTTAGGTCTTTTAAGATGTGGCTGGAGAACAGTGCAATTAGAAACATTACTGACATCTTTTTTATAGAGTTGACTGAAATGCCAATCATATCTGGTATTTCAGTCCATTGACTTGCTAAATCAAGGCTAGAATACATCTGCTGTTTATAATCCAGTTAACCAGTCAATATAAAACAAACTGTTTCAATGCAATTTCTCTCCTCCTTACTCCCTCCAGAATTTGAATAATCTTTACTCTCTGGTTCTTTTACTAAATTGTATATGACCTTGGTGCTGCATGATTTTGTTGACTTATAGGACTTTGATCTTTAAAGTTTGTTCAGCAGCAGTTATTGATTTACACAAATTCTAAAAGTCTCTAATGAACATTGGACATTAAGATTCAAAGTCAATATCTTGCTGAAAGAAATACAAAAAGCCAATGCTCAATTAAGTGAATACTAGCTGCTCTATGTATGTGTGTGTGTGCATCTGTCTTTACATGTTCCTTTTGGCATTGTGGATAGGAAAATGTACTTTTTTGTATTTAGTCATTTATTTTCAATTTTAGCACTAGTCATTTTTAAAACATTTAATTGGTCAAAAGAATGAAGTCAAGAATAGCGTATTGCTATTGCATAGTCTCTGAAATAGCCAAAAAATTATGATAGATAAATTAGTAACAATGTAACTTTATACCTTTCTGGTAATATTTTCCTTTTTATTAATAATTTTTCCTGCAACCCTGTGCATGTTGTTTTTCCACCTAGGAGTCCTCTGTGCTGGCACTTACAGGGTCTATTGAGGTAGTTTCACTGTGGTAGGGATCATTGTAGCCACCGGCTGAGTCCAGTACCAAATCTCATTACCATTTGATGTAGTTGAGCAGTAAAGAAATAATGATTAAATGTGTTACGGCATGGTAATAACTTAATACAATGCAGAGAGTTTTTATGAATTTCAGGCAAGATTTTTATATAAAAAGAGTGGGGAAGGGGAGAATTACTAAAAAATGTATCAGAATCCTTCCTGCACAGTCCGTGTTGCTTAGAGCACAAAAAAACTAATGTAGATAAGGTAGAGCTATCTAAGCAAATGTTCTTTTGGCTGACCACTGAGGATGAGTTTTCACTAAAGAACTTCAATTATAATACAAAGTAACCTGGGCAATCTAGAATTACTGATTCTAATACATGCTCTATCATTTGAGCAATGAAATTTAAAATAATTTGTGCATTGCTGACAGAACTGATAGATTTGAAATGGTTTATTGTTGAGTTTTACCTTGTAACATATTTATGTATTTTTTGCCCATTTTTATGGTGAACTATTTAGGTATCTTAAAGCAGTTCCCTTAAAATTTACAAATGGGTGTTGGTGGTGGTGGTTATGGGAAAGTCGGTATCAGTGTCAAATCTTAGTTGGCGACTAATTTTTAATTCCCTTCCTTTTATCTGTAGGTATGGCTTTCCCAACGAAAGGCTAAGAATTCAAGAACGGTCTTAACTGAACCCTCATCAGATCTGAATTTAACAAATGCTTAGTTTCAGCAGTCTTGAAAAAAAGTAGCCTAGCAGTCAGTGACTTACTTGCACTTTTTTTTGCACATAGATATAAAATAAAATAGTGCTATTAATTTGGTTTAGTCTCTATTATTACAAAGTAGCTGTAATTTATGAGTGTATAGTAGTATACTGACTGCTAAGTGTTCTATACTGTTTGCTTTACTAATCACCTAATTCATTGCAGTTCATACTTTATTGACTTAAAGTTTAAAACCACATCTGTAGGCATGAAGAATTGCTTTAAAACTTTTTTTAATGGTAGAAACTGGAAGTGGTCTGAAGGGTAGCAAATAATTGTCAGTATTAAAAATGGCATTATTTAAAGTAGTGCTGCTGCAAAAAAGGCACTTCAGTGAATATGTGACTAGTAAAGCTTAAATGTTCTTGGATCTAATAGATTTCATGAAATACTGTAATGTTGGGATTGAAAATGAGTGGATTAAACAGGTTAAGGCCAGGATGTTTGAAATAAATGCAATATTAATCTGCACAGATATACTTCATATATTAAAGTTAAGATTTGAAACTACTGTGCCTTAACTTGTTGCTTTCTTAAAATGAATTTTGTAGTAAATGATCACTTAAATCCATTTTGCTAAACCTGCTGTTAATGTTTGTCTTTGAATGTTTTCTAACTTTGTCTTGGTAATTGCAATTTAACTAGGTGCGGTGGCTACTAAAGTTCGAAGGCACGATATGCGTGTCCATCCTTACCAAAGGATTGTGACCGCAGACCGAGGTTAGTTTAGTTCTGCAGTTCTTTTTTATAAGAAATGCTTTGAGTGTACATGAAATTTGCAACACCACAGCTGGTTAACCAAATACCATATTTTGACCCACTCATTAATATTAATTTTCTCAAAAATCTAAATAGTCACTATTTTACAGCTTTGGAAACGCTTGCAATTTTAAAGACCTTGTGTAAACTTCTTTAGGTTTCCCATCTATTAAAATATATAAATTATGTGATATGTTTAAAATGCTATAACTGATTTCCTTTATAAGAACTATAGAAGATTCAGCTTCATCAGGAAATAAGAGTTTAGTGCTACATTAATTGGTTTTCCCTTCAAACTTGCTCTTTTAATTGGTGTGGAAATATCAGATTGGTGTTGCAAAAATAAAATGAATGGATGGGTGCTTAATGAGAAGGAAGTAAAGGAATAAAATGCCTCCTGTCTGGAGAAAACTGAAGATTTAGGTTCCGTTTTTCTAATAAACTGTTTGAGCCACTGTACTGTATAACTCTAAAGAAGATTCATGTTCTCAGATATCTAACTTAATTCAACAAAATAAGGACTGTGAAGATAATACTTCAAAAGTTTGTTGGGTTTGAGTCAGTAAAGGCAATATTCTTTTATGTTCTTTTGCCAAAATGGATTTCTTGGTATTTGTCATTTGCTGCTAAAATACATTGTCTGAAGAAGAAGCAACTTTTGAAGTCCCGTTGGTGAGATGACATCCAGTATTTGGACATCTCTCTTAACTAACCAATGAATGGAAAATAAATCTTCATTTTTCTCCTGTTCATCAAATGTAACTTACCATCTGTGTATGCCCTTGGACCCTTGAATGAATTACTTAAGCTTATTAAGAAAAGTGATGTTTTCGGTTTATTGACATTGGGCTGTTCATTGACTAGGAAGCAGTGCAGGTGGAGAACTGGAACACCCAACCCCTTATCCCAGCTCTGCCAGTGACTCCTTGTGTGAATCACTTAACCTTTCTGTGTATGTTTTTCCCATCTATAAAATAAGGATGATACTTCCTTAGCTCATGGGGTGTTGTGGGGATTAATGTATGTTCAATGCTTTTGAAGATGCGAAATGTTTTGAAATTGCTGAGTATTATTATTCTAAGGACCTATTCTCAGCAGAATAGGATATCCACAGGCTTCCTTGATTTGATATACTTAAAGCCAAATTCAGGGGACAGGCATGTCTACTCCTAATACAGAATTTAGCCTACACTCCACCTCTCTCCTTCTGTTGATTTGTTAAGATCTGTGTCAGATTACCATATATAAGGAGGACACCATGGACACCAATACCAGAGAGAGGGGCTCTCTAAGATATTTATTATATTTTATGTAGCGCCTTTACCTTTTAATGCTTTATAAAAGGCACAAGCTGATATATAAAATCTATACAGTTACCTGAAAAAATTCTTTTCCCCTTATATCCCATCACAGTGGTTACAGTCTGCTGGGTTGTTCGTATTCTTTGTTGAAAGATGGGCAGCAGGGCATTTCTATACAAGGCCCATGTCTCTAGAATCTGCTCCTACTGATGGTCTCTCAGAGCCCAGATTTGGTGTCCTTCATGCCACAGTTGAAAAGCTTATTTGTTTAGGCAGGTATTTCCCTGGAACAGCTGGTGACCAAATCATTGTAGCAGGGCATGGAATTTTTTTAATCTATTGGTTACTTTATTTGAATAGACCAATGTAGTATTTACTAATTTTGTTGTTTTTAATTCGTGTCAGCTGTTCAGCTGCCTTGGCAATGGTTGCAACTATAAATCATTGAACTGAAAATAATAAATATTGGAATCATCTCACCTTCTACTGAAACACAGACACTTCTTTGATGGTAAATTGTCCATATGTATAGCTCTTCAAAGTTAATTTGTATGTTTTTAAAAAAAGAATACACAGAGCTATTCTCTCATGGAGACCATACATGGTTCTGTGACCTGTATATTTTTTTACATTAAAACGATGCTGATAATTTCTGATGAATAGAGTTCTAAATTACCCGTAGCAACTTACATTACAAACCATAGGTTGCGCAAAGATATTTTTAAAGACTGTACTTCATTTTATTACAAATTTTAAAAAGCAGACTATCAGTGCACACTCTTTAGAGATTTAGAAGAGGGGTATGTTTTGGAAAGAATACCTTTTGGCATAGTACAAACATTTTACATAGAGGAGGTTAATGTGAGTTTTAAAATTTTGCTGTAAAATTAAAATACCAAAAATTGATCAACACTTGCCATGTGCACCTTCTGTGCAATTCATGACACACATTTTGATTAATTTACCATTATTGGTATTGAAAAAGCAATGTCAGCAAACCGAAATATTAATTTTTTCAACCTGAAAGCATTTTAAACAGTTGTTAAATATCACTAAAATAAGTATGCATTCATTGGGTCTAAGATTACAAAAAACTTTTAAACTGGTTCTCATATAGTACTACTGTATTCACCCTTTGAGTATGTTTTTGTTTTTTGCATAGTTTTTTAGATATAAGCACTGCATTTCAAACAAGAGCCCCCAAACATGTAAATGTGTTATTCTTATAACCAAGCATTTAGAATTGGTGAAGGGTTGATAAGTATAGTTCATTTCTACTAAGAATAAGATCCCGCTCTATAAATAATCCAAAACTGAATTTGATTCATATAATAGAGAGACTGACTGATTTAATTGTAATAAACTGTAAATGGTGTTGCACAGTTGACAAACCTGTGTGTACTGTAGAAGGCCGGGGACTTGGCAGAGGATGTATCACAGGTGTTCTGGTATCTTAAAAAGGTAGCTTACTTTGATTATATACTCCACAAGAAATGTTAATGCTGATAATTTTTCTGAATGTTTTTATCAAAACCAATTGTCACATAATTTATATATAAAATTTTAATACCATTTTAATCAAAATTGCAATCAGTATCAAAAATGCTTTAAGATTCTGTGTTTTTCGTATACCTGTAAAGTGGTGAGATTGTGCCACATTAAATATTTATTTTTTATTTTATTTTTTTTGCTTATATTTGCAACAGCAGTTTTAATTTAAACAAAATCCCACTTAGCAGAATTTTGAAGAAGTTCAGGGAACATGTGGTCTCATTTAAGTTACAGTAGTAATTTTTAGTGTTTATAAACTGTATCCTAAATGATAGGCCATAGAAACCATTTTTATTATGTGAAGGTAAATCAACCCATGATATAGATCATTTAAAAATATGCTATCTGTGAACATTACACCTACTGGATTTCATTTTATGAAATGGCACAAATCTGACTTTGCACTGAATACCTTTCTCACTTTCATCTCCTCTGCCTTAGTCAGAATGGCAACAGTACAAAAACTCTATCAAACCTCAGAATTTATTAGATATGATTAAGCTGTTGAACAAGTCTTAAAAATTGTACTACTGTTAAGTGGACCAAGTTTGGTGAAGGAGAATGTGAGAGAGAATGATTAAAGAAGGATCAGCTCAAGAACATTGGGAATGATAACTTTCCACTTGAGAACTTTTTTATGTTTTACTGTAATTTTTTTGTTTTTGTTTGTTTGTGGTTTTTTGTTTTTTGCAAAAGAAAATAGTATTTACAGGTGGCTTCTTTTAAAATATAAAAATATAAAGCAGGAATGTATATGAAATGTCAGATTTTATTGTATTTGCAGAGTATTAGCTTTGAAAATGAATAAAGAAAGCTGTCTGTAGTTTTAAAATGCCTTATTAGTATCAATTAGATACTTTCTCTATTTTTTGATGTACTTAGAGCTTTTGAAGTATAGAATTTAAAATGGCAAGACTTTTACAGTGTTTACATGCAAGTGCATTTTAAAAGTGTCCTATGTGTAAAATAGTATTTTCAACAGGAAAATGCTGGCTAAAGTAATAGGCTTAGCCTTTACCTGGTTTCCATGATGATGCCTACACTGCTAGACTACAGTTTAGTATTGCTTTGTATCATGAGGCCAAGAAATTCCATGTTGTTTGTAAATAGAATAATTGAAAAGCAATAAAAAATTTATTGAACAAAAGAAACCTTGTTTGGCCCATAGTTTATGTTAAACCAAATTGTTTATGAAAATTCAGATTCATTTCTTTTAACAAACAGTTATTAATAATCACATCCATCATTAATAGTTGCTTTAATGCTTGCACCTGGGAAAATACTAATGCTTAATAGCAGTCAGATACTGATTCTTTGCGCTGACTGTTTCAAAATTCTTTTACCAAGTGCCAAAAACTGTTCATTGTTTTTGTTTTCCAGTTTCCTTCATCGACTGCTACTAACCATTAGTTGTTAGTTGTATTTTATTTCTATTTTTTCCTGTTAACCAGTTTTGTGGGAGTGGGCTTCTCCTTCACATGTTCAAATCATGATACAAGGCTGTCATGATTTTATTGCATTCTGTAGATGGTGTCAATCAGTGCGTCAGAATTAAACATGCTTGTTTTTTATTAGTTGTGATTAGTTTTCATGTTGTCATTAAGCCGTCACTAGCTGAAACTAATCTCTTCTCTATCTTTTCTTTCTCTTTTTTGTTTTTTTATTTTGATTTTTTGTTTTTGTTTTTGTTTTGTTTTGTTTTTGTTTCTAACCACCCAGCCGCCACCGGCAACTAACCTATGACCTTCTGACCTCTGAACTCTTCACCCAATGATGACCTGACCATGCCTGCCTGCTGATCAGTTAACTGGTAATCGCCTTTGCTTGCCTGTCTTCAGTGCAGCGAGCTGAGGCACTTGTCCGTTCGTCTTACCATCTAACAAAAAAGACAAAGAAATTATTGTCCTCCAACTCAGCTTTTTTTTCCTGTTTGGGTGAAAGTGGTTCTAGAACCTGCACTGAATAGTAGTAAAGCAATAAGGTCCAATTCATCCCTCAGCACTGATCATCCTTTAGTGTCCCACCCTAAACGAACGGTAAGAAGGCCTCACTTAAGTGATGGAGACAGATGTCCCTTAACTACCCGATGACAGAGGCAGTTACTGTGAGCGACTTCTAGGAATCTTTTTCTTCTCATAATGAAGTCAAAGCTCTCTTTGAATGTACTGTGTGATGATGCATCATGCATGAACCTTTGGTCAGGGATGTCATTGGTGAAGGGATTCCAAAAAGTATTCAAAATTTGACTTGCTGTTTAGTCACTACCAGTGCCCTCAAAGGGCAAAAGTTGCAGCCTTTTTTCTATTGCCTGCCAAATTGGATGTTTTAAAAGAACGTGTGCCATGAAAGATAGATTTCAGTGAATTTTCAGAACTATGTTAATGCAAAGAACAAAACAGCAACACTATGAAAGCAAAATCTGAGTTAAGATTACTTTAACCATATTTAAACTTTCTTAAAAGATTACATGAGAACAAGGTACATGCATTATGTGTCACATTACTGGGCAAACTGTTCAAATATTTTTTTTAAACCTCCCTGTATAGAAAAATTTCATTAAGGATGTAAAAGCCATGCTTGCCTATTTGCTGTATACATGTAATGAAATTGTAGATAAAGTGTAGTGCATTGAAACAAAATGAACAAAAAAGTAGATACTTTTACTATACAAGGGTGCTGGTGCAGAAAAAATATATTTTTGGAAATGTAGCATTTTATACTTTCAAGTGTTATAAAAAAAAGAAAAAAAGAACAAAGAAACAACCCTTTATTTCATTAAATGATTTTTTCTGGTGGTTGTCAAGAAACAAAAGACCAAAAGAGCCTTTTTGTCTTTCTTTTTATTTTTTAAGTATTGGAATAAGTCTAAAGAAAAGGAAGTGCCTTATTTTCTTCATGGTCATTTAGTCAAATGTCTCATATAATCAGCTCCTCCCTCAGACAACAAGTTAATGCATGCCACTTAGTCGCCCAGTATGTGAAAAGAAGCTGGGAAAGGAAGACAAATGAGTTGACAGTTTGAAATAACTGATTTTTGCCATAGTAGCATGATGCAACTTTGCCAAATCTTATAATGTGAAACGTTTGATAATTTTTCTATCAAATGCTGGCCCCCATTAGTCTTGCAACATTTTCACCATCTCAAACCATAGTTAACATATTTTGTTTCATGTACTTGCTCAATCTAAACCAAAGGGTTCTGACTCATTCTAAATCAGCATTAGCTGACACATGTTTATAGGGCAGCAAGTGCTCCATTTTGTTCAGGGGATGGCGTGGAGTTGTCTTGATTTGAAATATTGACAAGTATAGCAGACCTTGTACTTGTCCACAGAATAAAGTTTGGTGGATAATGAAATTGAACATGTTTAACTAATTTTAAGTCTGACCTAAGCATGTTCCAGTATTTTGTAAGCAGCTCCCACAGTGTCAAATAGTGTATAAGATATTCAATTCTCATAATATTGATTGTTGCTTTTTATTCAAAAGAAAAGCAGGAAAGATTCATCGACTAACTATTTAAAAATTCATCTATAGTTCAGTATTATCTTTTAGCGCCACATGAAATTCATGTAGCTAGACCAGCATAAGAGCTGAGAAGCTTTTTTGAATAGTGTTGAATTCTGAAAATATTGAGCAAGTATCAATTTGCTAATGGCTCAGTATTAGACTTGGCAAATATCAGGTGATGATTTATTTCCCCTCTTGTCAACTTATTCTCCTCCTGCAAACCTTCATAGCTTCCAAATCAAAGGTCAATAGTAAGCTAAGAAAGAGGGCTTACGGTTTAAGCACCTGTTTGGTGACCTCATCTAGCATCTTGTCTCACCTGGAAACAATTATCCGTTTATTTACTATGCAATAGACATTCATCCTTTTGTATTCAGCTAGCTTTTGTTTATCGTGCCACCAGCTTTGTCTTCCTGTTACACATACAGTTGTTTTGACTTAATTTACAGTATATATGCTGTGCCATTTTGATTTTTGTTTGTTTGGTTGAATAAACCTGCGACACTCAAACATTTGAGAAGAGATTTGCTAAAACAATACCAGTATTTGATCCAGATTCATCTCAACTATGATAAACCTGGACATTTTTTGATGTTTATCAAATGGGGGAAAGTTACGTGTATGAAATAGAAGTGTGACATGTAATAGTAATGTTTGCTCTGAATGAACAAACTTTTGAAAACATAGTTGACAAAATTTTGGATCAACTTAAAAAAAAGCATGACTTTTGAAATCTCTGAATGCCTTGGTTCTCAGTATTATAATTCTTTATTGAATTTTTCTTTATTAAAATATGTAGTTTTAAGACTTCTTTCTGACAGTATTATGTAATTTTTTAGAGTGGGTAGATGGGAGTGTCGCTTGTATGTAACAGTACAGATGACATGTATTTGTCTATTCTTTATTATCTTAGTAGTTTCATGCTGTGTATGTATCATAACCAACCTATTGCCTATGAGAAACATGTAAGATAATGTATTTACAGCCATTGTTACAAGTTTATAATGTATTTTTCTATCTTGTTTTATATGTATGTTATATAAAACATTCAATTTTTTTCCTGATTGAGAAAAAAAGGATACAAAAATGCAAAACCCACAATTTTGATAACTGAAAATTGCCAATTGTTTTGCAGTACTTTATTATATTGGGAGTGTTGTCTTTCTTGGGCTTTTAGTTAGCTACTGGATGAATACATTAGACATATTTGGGTTTTAGTTGGGTTTTTACATAGCTTGCATTTTAATTCTTTGGTTCTTTGCTGTTTCTATTAACCCATAGCATTATTTTAATAAATGTTATAATACCAACCTACTAACTCTGGACTATGTCTGTTTATTAACCATTACATGTTTAATTAAAATAAACAAACAAAGACGGAAGAATGTAAAGTCTTGAGTTACTGGACTAACCCTGAAGAACGTGACCACAGATAACACATGACTTGTATTTATGTTGTTTGTCGGCTGACATTCTGCACACTACTATTAAATTGGCTTTTGGTCATTCTGGCCTTTGCCTTGGGGGGGGTAGGTGGAGTAGAGATGGGAACAAAGTAGCATTATTTGAAGCATTCTTCTTGTAGTCTTGCCACTTGCCTTTCAGCATCTGCATTACTAATTCCACACGTTACTTTTTCTTTCTCTAAAATAATCACTGTCAGCTCACAGCAAAAGAGCAAAGATGCCAGTATATTGGTAAATCATGTGATGGTGTACCCAGAGAAACCAGTTTGATTCTTTGTTGAACCATTTTGATGTCACAGTAAATCTCATTGAAATTTGCCATTCTTTATTTAAAGCACCTGATTCAGTGTCACATCTTGTGATTCTCTTCTATTTTGTATAAGCACACATTATTACTGGACTATATTTTTTGTGTATCTGAAGCAAGGAACTGGCTTTTTTTCTAGGATGTCACAAAGATTTTCCTACAGCTTGCTTTATTTCCTACTTGACATACTATTTATGTAAATTTTTTTTGTACGTCTGTAGTCTGTCATTATCACCTAGCTCAGGGGAGTACAACTTCTGAAAAGCCAAAGATCAAGCTGGATCATTTCCTAATGACTACAGAAAGTACAAAATACTAAACCTGTGGCACTATATTACTGAGAAATAGCCATTTCAAATACCAAGGCTCTTTACCTGTGATCTCTATCCCTGTGGATGACCGTAGCAACACGAATGCAGGGCATGTAAATGGTGGAAACACGGTAGTAAATATGTTTTTGTTTTTGAGCTTCGATGCAAATGACTTTTACAGAGAAACTTCATATTTAAAATTTTCTATTATTTGAAGTTTTGTTTGTAGCCTGGTTAGGCCTACCAGATTTTTGCTTAAATGTACAGTAATTACCAGCTATTCCCTTCGGAGACCCTTGATGCACATCACTTATTTCCCTGATATTGACAGTTTACTTTTCTGTGAACTAGCAATCTACTTGCCTGGGAATAAAAATTCAGATGAGAAATCGGCATCTGTTCAAAACTGGGTTTTTTCCATTTGTTGTCATAAGCTTTAATTTACAGATTTCAGAATCCTTGTAATAACGTTTTTATTTTAAAAAGTGGAAAGTTCTCCCAATTTTTTTAAGTTAATTTTATGTAGAGAAATTGGGCTGAGCACTAATTAATAAGTAGTTTGTGCATTAATTTGTTAGGCGTGTTGATATACAACTAGATTTTTTAAATACCCATTTAAACATCTAGTTTAATTTACAGAACTGTACAGATGCAACTGTAAAATAGAGAAAATTGATACGTCTAGAACAAGTTACACATGTACAAAAAAAGTTTTTTGGGGGGGCCATTTCACTGCTTATACTATGAATGTATTGCTATCCAAAAATTCAATGAGACAGTGTAAAAAGAAAATAACTCATAGTGGATAAAATCAGAACCTTATGATTCAAGTAATGTGACATTACAACTATCAATTTGGAGTTATATAGAAAATGCTCAAAACGTTTGAGACAGGACAAGTGTTTAAACTTTGAGATGTCTACAAATTTGATTAAAACTTCCTGGGTGGAACTAGACATTGTTACGGTTTTTGGATAGCAAAATATCTTTGTTCTAGGGGCAATTAGTTGGATGCTTACGATACAACTTTATGATCTTCATTATCTTTTATTATCCATGAACTACTGTCATAGTTTGCCCACAGTGGGCATTTTCATCTCATTGTCAATTATACATAGTAATGAACATTTGCCCAGAAGAGAAGTGGGTTATTGTTGTTTTTTAAACTGAAGGAAAACAATAAGCCTTAAAAGCAAAATAACTCTTTTTTTACACAAATTAATGTTACTATTGAACATAAGTGCAGGTCTCAATGTCCATAGCTAAGTGCTTAACTAAAAATCTTGTCAACTATAAAAAGGCAACAATTTAAGATGAATTTCTGGCGCTTGAGCTTGATAACTTCAGTGTTACTCTATTGTTAAAGTTTTTGTGTTTTTAATTCTGGAAGGGTAAAATGTCTTTCAGATTTTATAAAAGGCATGTATTCAAGCAAACCTACAGCACTGCAGTTCCTTCCAGCAAAATGGAGTCAATTTAAATAAGTATTTTTATTTACATTTAATTTACATTTTTATGCAAATATAAACAGAAGTACAACAAAACCCTTTTAAATAAATACTGGATGAAGCAATATTCTTTTAAAAAAGCACTTCAGAAAATCAGCCTCTTGGAGAATAATCTTACTGTGCATCAAACCAAAATACGTTTCATAGAGAGTCCCCAAAGACTTTAAGTATCTTTTGTGCAGATATTTAACCACTTTTAGATTACTAATCAGTATTTACTAATATACTATTTGAACAGATCTTTTAACAAGTTTGTGTAAAAATCCACTTATACATAATATAACAAGCTAAAATTGCTTTATTTCCAGTCACACCCTTTAATCTATGGGGACCACTGAAAAGTTTTCTGCACTGCAAAATGCTGTAGGAAATGCACACTAAAGTATGTTGCTATCCAATAAAAAAGAATGCAGAAAAATATAACTCTTTTTGAAACTTTTTTATGTATCTGGATAATTAAACGGGCACTCTAAATGGCACATTACACAATAAAGTCCTTGTAACACTTTTTACAAACATTCCTGAAGTGCAAGTGTGTAATTGTACTTGGAATGCCTAGTTTATTTTTAATAGATCTTTGATATAGAGAGATGTTTTGTGAAATATATTAATGGTATACTGTTTTTTCAACTAAGCATATGAACCATTACACTGACATGGTAATCAATGTTGAATCAAACTGGTTAACTTAAGCACATTGGTCTCCTTCCTATGTGCCTGCTTACTGATTGCAGGTGGTATAGTTCCGCATTGGAGGTGGGTGTCATGCGCAGCAGATGGTTACTTGCTCTATTAGCTTCTTGGTGCCAGCAGTTTGGGTGTCCGTTGTTGACAACAGACTGCACTGGGAGAAATTTGACTCCCAGGGCGAAAATTAATTTGCATCTAAAAAACTATTAGAGAAGAGTTAATAGAATATATATCCTTTTTGACTTCTATTGTGGCAGTTTGTGTGAAACATTTAAGGTTTTGTTTGTACAAAATAATGTATTTTGAGGGGGGGAAATAGACATTGCCAAAACACATGTAAATAAAAACACCAAGTATGACTGTACATGATGTGCAATAAAATAACTGGAAAAAGTGCATGTACTTTATCAAAAGCCGATTGGAAGCTATCAATGCTGCAACTATAGTTTTATTTTCTGAAAAGTCACATTTTATTCTGTATTTAAACAGCAGAATAAAGAATCTGCATTTTTCACACTTTACTGTTCATTAATGCCTTTAGCAATGTTATGAGAGATGTTGCTTTTTGAAGTGATTTAAAATTTTGTCATGATCTGACTACCTGGATATCACCTTTTACTGAAGAATTGCTGTTGTATTGCTTTGGGTACAATTAGAGACTAGAAAAAGTTGAGTACACATTCATACATACAGTATACATACAGCACCTCAGCCAAATTTGGATTTGCAAGCACACTAAAATTGAGCAACTTGGACTCTACAAAATTATGAAAAGACTATAGTTGCTTGAATATCATAATTACCAGACTGTTAGTCAATATAAAAGGAGCCAGACCAGTATTATTTTAACTCAAGCCACTATAAAGTTCTAGCTCTTTACAATAGCCACATACACTTAAATGAATGATTTATCACTTTGGCATCTGCAAAGTGGATTTCTCACCAAAAAATGATCTGTCTTAATATTTTTCACTGAATACATTTATGCAATTCTCTGGATTTAGTATGACATCATTTGAGTACTGTGTAAAATATGTACAATTGTGTAAAAGGAAAAGCTGGTTCAGCACAACACACAGGGCTTGTCTACACTTAAAATGCTAGAGCAGCACAGCTGCACCACACTGCTGCGCATCTGTCATGCTTCAATGTAGACACTACCTATGCCAACAGGAGGGGTTCTCGCATCTGCAGGTAATCCACCTCCAAGAGAGGCAGTAGCTAGGTCGATAGAAGAATTCTTCCATTGCCTTAGTGGTGTCTACAGTGAGGGATAGGGTAACTCAACTACTCCACCCAGGTATGGATATTTCACACCCCTGAGGGTTGTAATTAAGCCGACTTAATTTTCTAGGGTAGACCCAATCACAATGGGTGAAATTCTGTGCTGCGTCTCCAAGAGGGGCAGTATGAACTCACAGCTAAGATGGATGAGGGGGACAAAGGCACCCACCTTTGTGCCCTGTGGATCCCAGGCTGTTCCAGGATCTGGAAAAGACCCTGCCATAATTAAGATAGACCTGGGGTCATCTCTTAATTATTGCAGTCTCCCCAAGCTATCTGGAATCCCTGCAATGCTGCAGCCTTGTCCCCTACCCTAAGTCTGTGAGGCAGCTTTGTGGCTGTCTTCTTTAGCTCCTGCACAGAAGGAATCCATTGACAAAGCCCGTCATTTTTGGGGGGGTAGAGGGTCATGTTTGTGCTATGGATATAGTAAAAAATACTTATGATACCAGCATTCTGTTGTTCTAGGTTGTCCAATAAAATTAGACATGGAAGCCGATGAGTGGAAAGTTACTACCAATACATTTTTTTTGTACTGTACTAGGAACAGTCCTGGATCATGAAACCACATTTAAGAGGGATAGCTCAATGGTTTGAGCATTGGCCATTTAGGGATCTCGGGCAAAAATCTGCCTGGGGATTGGTCCTGCTTTGAGCAGGGGGTTGGACTAGATGACCTCCTGAGGTCCCTTCTGACGCTGATATTCTATGATTTCCTCATAACTTCATAACTGCAGGAGAAACAGCA